TCTACTCATGCCACCATCTTGGCTCTGCCCCTCAGCGGTATTAAATTTTATACATTTATGAAGACCTAATTTAAACATTCTCCTTGCCTTCCCAAAACTATCTCTTTCCACATGGATTCTCCTCACTTTGATGGAAGAGACCCAGAAACTACTGCATCAGCCTTGTTTCCACTTAAACCATTTCCAGCGGAAAGAAACCCGCTGCTCCCACTACCAACAATATCTCCACATTTTAAAACACTTCCATTTATGGCAAACACTGATTTTTAAATGGATATTTTCAAAATACTGGTAACATGCCAATGAAAAATAGAATGTAAAACCACTTTTCTCCACCAGTTCTTATCAGGTAACAACATTATTCTCCAAAGGTTTACCCCAGATTTTAGCTAAAGGATAGACTTCCTGGCAATTTGCCCACCTCCTGGGTCGGTAGGCAGGGAATGGTGCCCTTACATATACATCGTGGGTGTGTTACAGGGAGGAATAAGGGAGGCTCCAGAGTCAGTGTGACAGGTGGTAAAGGGTGGTAAAGGGAAGAGCTTTTAGGATAGTTAAAAGAAATAGAAAATATCCCAAAATAAGACTGATGCCTATAACAACAACATAAATAATGAAGCAAAAATAAAGCTTGAAAGTGTTGTAGATATTAGAGATTCCCAGTTCACCCAGAATTCAAAATTAATTTTGTTTGTTTTACACCAGATACACCAAATTGGAAGATAAAGATAATTGGGTCTCAGTGGACTCACTCACATCTGAAATTAGACTTATAAAAATTCCTGATTTCGAATCCAGATATGTCCAAAATGGTACATATACTGTAAAGATTTTGGCTATGTCAGAAGGTAAGTTAATAGATAGATAATTTTCTTGGTTATTTGTATTTAGATATTATTTTCCAAATCAGAGACCTTTGTTTTCATCTTGTAGAAAAACCAAATCTCTCCAATGGATAAACCTTCTCATTTCTACCTGTTTTAATGGACTAAAACATGTTACTTGGTCTGAACATGAAAACATATCTAGGATAAGGAAGTGTCCTAATTGTTATACCTTCTTACCATAGTGGCAAGAGAATTCACCTGTACCCCTTGTCAGCAATGTAGCCGGAACATACGTGTTTCTTTCCTCCCTGTTTTTAAGATTATCCTAGAAAAACCATCACGGGCACGGTCGTGATCACAGTCCAAGACATCAATGACCATTGCCCCACCCTGGTCAACCCAGTGCAGAACGTCTGTGAAGATGCGCAGTATGTAAACGTGACTGCAGAGGACCTGGATGGGGGCCAGAACAGTGCGCCGTTCGGCTTCTCCCTTGTTGACAAACCAGCGGGGATGGCCGAGAAATGGAAAATAGTGCACCAAGAAAGTAAGTGAGATCATCAGACCACATATTTAAATATTAAACATAACAGAAATCTAAATTCTTCAAGCTGTGTTGTTCTTTTTTTCATAAATTTCTTATACACATTTTTAAAGGAGTTTAAATGAGGTTCTGAATCTCAGGCATAGTATCTTTTATCTGCCTATAATAAAGACCTATCTAGAAAAGGGAGAGAAGAGGAATCACCCATGTCTGACAGATAGCTGAGTCTTCTCCAAATAGCTCTTGAAGTAGCCTTGCCTCATGAGCCAAGTACCTGGGCTGTCTAAGAGCAGCAATCAGAGTACATGCCTTCTAAAAACCTTGAACTGTGGTAACAATTCCATTAAAAATAATATTAGTCGCTTACCATATGCCAGACACTGCTGGCCCTTCAGGTATCTTATCTCATTTCATCCTTACCACTTAATGTTATTCCTTAACTACAGCTGGGGAAACCTTGGGTTAACTAGGGCTCATTGGCTTGTTCAAAGTCACAAGACTAGTAAGTAACAGATAACGACATGAAGAAGCATCTGTCTAACCCTCCATGCCAGATGGCCAGTGTGCATATCTCTATCTTGGACATAACCCTCATTGATGTGAGCTTTTGGGTGTCCTTCAGAGTATTTTGAATGCTGAAAAACCTATCCAGAAGACTATTTTGTTTCAGAAAAGTTTCAAATATAATACCCAAGCTTTTCCTAATTACAGATTCATTGTTAAAGTCTACAAAATTTTTGCAGTCATTTTAAGGGGCTTTTTGAATAATGTTTCATCCAATTTACAACATAAATACCTTCAATATTTCAAATTATATTTATAAATTTAGTATATTTGGTTTCCTTTTTGTGTATTTCAGTTATCTGAATTAACAAAACCTTCTTGTGATCCCTAGATTCTAAACGTTCAGTGGATTTAACTTATAAATCCATGGACCCTAGTCTAGTACTGAACAAACCAGTGATGTTTCAACCTAAAAGCACAAGTAATGTAGTTAAGTTGGAGTTACAAAGCTGTCACAATAATAGGGGCAAATTTTCTTAAAACTCTTACAACTATATAAGTAACAAGTACAAATAATTTCCTTACAATATGAAAATATTAAAACTGTCTTTAATTTACTCAGATATTCCCATATCTAATTCTAAATCATCTCAGGGTTTATGTGTCCACTTCAGAAGATAGATACAGATAGATACACCCTTTGTTAACTTAAGTAGCATGTCCCCACTAAGAATAGCAATTTTCCCATCCCAATTAATTGAGTTTACTTAAAGATTAGGCATTCAGCTAGCAGGAACCCCGAGCTGGCAGACATCCACATGATTCTTAAGGTAATCCAGTCAAGGGCTTCAAAACTTGTAAGGTTGTTGATCTCCCCACTCACAGTATATACTCCTGACTCACAGAAGTCTGGGGCTCCACCTAGGCTGAATGCTTAACTGGAGTTTTCCTTTCTTTGCCTAACGTGTGTAAATGTGTTTTGCATTGAACTTGCTGGGCTTCTAAGAGATGCCAGCACTTTTTTGAGCACTCTGCTAATATTAACAACCCTGGAAGTTTGGCACGACTATTGCCAACATTTTACAGATGAGGAAACACATGCACAGAGAGTTTTACTGACCCTCTCAAGGTCACAGCTCCTGAAGAGCTGGAACTAGGATTTGATCCAAGCAGTTGGCCTGGAGCCTCTACTTTCTAACCTTTATGCTATCCTGCTTCTCCATGTATAAAAATGGGTTTTCTATCTAAAGATAAAAACATTCTTGAATTCTATGGGCTTTTTCATAGTCATAGGAGCATAAAACTCTTAAGGACATGCATGTTAGAGCATTATAACAGGAAGTCACTGAGATTTATACTTTACGTATCTCAACAATTTAGAGAGAGAGGATTTTATAATCCAGGCTTTCTTCTCCTTGGTTACATAGTAAAATGATCAGCCAGTGGCCATGATCATAAATTGCTCCTATTTGTTTTGGTTTAGTTGGGGATATTTTAAAATACAGAGAATCCCACAGACTAATAAGGCAGACACCCTTTTACAGACCCAGAATTAAAAGAATATTAACAGTTTGTCATATTTGGGTAAGGCTTCTTTTTTATGACAATTATTAAACTATTCCCCTCCTCCCCACCCCCCCAGGACCAATCACAAGTTTGTTTGTATTCTTCCAGGCTGTCTTTAAAATGGATGTTTTTCATGAGTTCTTATTCCTTCAAATGAATGATTAGGTAGATGCTTTCCTCACTTCTCCAAAGCTTTGGGGATAATTTAACAAGTCTATTTCTGGCTATTGCAGATCAACTTCTATAAAATTTGGACCTTATAATGAGAACAGGCTGTGTCTTACTTCAAAAAAAAAATACAAAAGACTTTATTTTTATCTTGTATTCATCTATCTTTACATGTCTTACAAGTTATTTTTCATAAATATTATGCATACATCAGAAAAAATTTTAAGCTATTCTGATTGTTATTTTCACTTAATGTGAAAACTGGTCATTATTTTTATTCATGTTAAAGAAAACTTTTAAATAATCATCAATCATATTTTTTAAAAATAAAGTAAAAAGATCATTCCCACAAGACTTCCTGTGTAATATTCTTGCCAAAAAATGTATAACCTGATTTCAATCATAAGAAAATAATCAGACACATTCAAACTGTGGAGCATCCTTTGAAATAAGTGGCCTTTAAAAAAGGCTAGGTCTTGACAAGTCAGAAGGGAGGGGCTGGCTGACCTAAATTATTAACAGACAGTAGGATAATGCAGTTTATAATCATTGATTGGATCCAAAGAGAGAATTATGAAGGACTTTATTATAACAATTGAAAAGTTTGACTATGGGTTATATACTAGACAGTATTATTATATCAATAATACATTTCTTAAGAAGGCTAATGACCCTTGGTCCTAGAAGGTGTATGCTAAGGAATGTCATGATATCTGCCACTTACCTTCACATAGTTCAGAAAAAAAGAAGTGTGTACAGAGAGAGAAAGTAATGTTGCAAAATATAAAGAATTTGTGAAGGGTTGATGATATTCATTGTAATATTCCTTCAACTCTGTAGATTTGAAATTTTTCAAAATTTTGAATACACAGTGTTAGAAACAAAAACAGAAGGGACTAGATGAAACAATATTGGCTCATTGTTGAAAATTATTAAAGCCAGGGATGGGTACCAGGGGGGTTAATTTTGCTCTTCTATTATTGTCTGTTTGAAAATCACCTTAATAAAGTTTTTTTAGGAAATGGTAAAATATAGGTCATTTCAATGGAAGGTCACTTAACCCACCACGTTCGTTACTGTGTTCCCATTACACAGAAGTCCCTTGCATTTGCTAGACCACACGCTTTTGTTACAATTAGTCATCATAAAAATAAGGTATGTCAGATCCAATACTATGCTGTTAACCTGTGTATTTGGAGTGTCTGGCATAATTGTAATAAGCACACAGTGTGAATTCAATAGAAAAGTTAAGCAAGAATAAAGCTTCTAACTGGGAAACCTTTTCATTATTAGCTTCTAATTATTAGCAATTAATGTTTCTGTAATTTACTCTGGCCGTGTCCGTGATAATCACTCATTTTTACCCTTCTGCCTCCCACCCTCGCAGGCACCAGTGTGCTCCTGAAGCCAGGAGAGCGACGGCTTGGGAGAAGTGAGATCCAGTTCCTGATTTCAGATAGTCAGGGCTTCAGCTGCTCTGAGAATCAGGTCCTTAAGCTCACTGTCTGCCAGTGTCTGGACGGCAGTGGCTGTGTGGAAGCTCTGCGTGACCCCTACATCGGCCTGGGACCTGCAGCAATTGCACTGATAATTTTTGCCCTTCTGCTCTTGCTCCGTGAGTATCTGACAGCCATGCTAGCTCTTGTTATTTTAGTACAGTAGCTGTTGACTTCTTTACAGTTACTCTTTAATCACACTAGAGCTCTTTCAAAGGTAAGGAGAGATAATGGAGCATTGATATGCTTACCAGGCTATTGTGCACTCTGCAAAATTTTGTTTTATAAAATGCATCCTTTCCTGATTTAAAGAACCAAGGTTATTATACATGCTTTTCAACAACTTTTACATGTCTTACAAGTTATTTTTCATAAATATTATGCATACATCAGAAAAAATTTTAAGCTATTCTGATTGTTATTTTCACTTAATGTGAAAACTGGTCATTATTTTTATTCATGTTAAAGAAAACTTTTAAATAATCATCAATCATATTTTTTAAAAATAAAGTAAAAAGATCATTCCCACAAGACTTCCTGTGTAATATTCTTGCCAAAAAATGTATAACCTGATTTCAATCATAAGAAAATAATCAGACACATTCAAACTGTGGAGCATCCTTTGAAATAAGTGGCCTTTAAAAAAGGCTAGGTCTTGACAAGTCAGAAGGGAGGGGCTGGCTGACCTAAATTATTAACAGACAGTAGGATAATGCAGTTTATAATCATTGATTGGATCCAAAGAGAGAATTATGAAGGACTTTATTATAACAATTGAAAAGTTTGACTATGGGTTATATACTAGACAGTATTATTATATCAATAATACATTTCTTAAGAAGGCTAATGACCCTTGGTCCTAGAAGGTGTATGCTAAGGAATGTCATGATATCTGCCACTTACCTTCACATAGTTCAGAAAAAAAGAAGTGTGTACAGAGAGAGAAAGTAATGTTGCAAAATATAAAGAATTTGTGAAGGGTTGATGATATTCATTGTAATATTCCTTCAACTCTGTAGATTTGAAATTTTTCAAAATTTTGAATACACAGTGTTAGAAACAAAAACAGAAGGGACTAGATGAAACAATATTGGCTCATTGTTGAAAATTATTAAAGCCAGGGATGGGTACCAGGGGGGTTAATTTTGCTCTTCTATTATTGTCTGTTTGAAAATCACCTTAATAAAGTTTTTTTAGGAAATGGTAAAATATAGGTCATTTCAATGGAAGGTCACTTAACCCACCACGTTCGTTACTGTGTTCCCATTACACAGAAGTCCCTTGCATTTGCTAGACCACACGCTTTTGTTACAATTAGTCATCATAAAAATAAGGTATGTCAGATCCAATACTATGCTGTTAACCTGTGTATTTGGAGTGTCTGGCATAATTGTAATAAGCACACAGTGTGAATTCAATAGAAAAGTTAAGCAAGAATAAAGCTTCTAACTGGGAAACCTTTTCATTATTAGCTTCTAATTATTAGCAATTAATGTTTCTGTAATTTACTCTGGCCGTGTCCGTGATAATCACTCATTTTTACCCTTCTGCCTCCCACCCTCGCAGGCACCAGTGTGCTCCTGAAGCCAGGAGAGCGACGGCTTGGGAGAAGTGAGATCCAGTTCCTGATTTCAGATAGTCAGGGCTTCAGCTGCTCTGAGAATCAGGTCCTTAAGCTCACTGTCTGCCAGTGTCTGGACGGCAGTGGCTGTGTGGAAGCTCTGCGTGACCCCTACATCGGCCTGGGACCTGCAGCAATTGCACTGATAATTTTTGCCCTTCTGCTCTTGCTCCGTGAGTATCTGACAGCCATGCTAGCTCTTGTTATTTTAGTACAGTAGCTGTTGACTTCTTTACAGTTACTCTTTAATCACACTAGAGCTCTTTCAAAGGTAAGGAGAGATAATGGAGCATTGATATGCTTACCAGGCTATTGTGCACTCTGCAAAATTTTGTTTTATAAAATGCATCCTTTCCTGATTTAAAGAACCAAGGTTATTATACATGCTTTTCAACAACTTTTTAACATAAACCTTAGGGTGTCCCCATTTTGATAAGCTCTGTATGGGGGGATGTTGTATGATTTGCCATGCCATGCATGTTTTTTGAAATCTAGATGAAATGGTGTATGTATCCTAAGGGTTTTTAATGTAGAATCATCTTAGAAAATAATACTCAGGTAATTCAACATTTGGTGAATTTGAACCTCAGTGATTCATGCCTTCTGCCAAATTCTACTCCAGGTGAAGTATTATAGACATTGCAGTGTTCTAGAATATTTGAACATCCTAAAATTTTTCTATCCCTAAGAGCTTTTGATGTTTTCAACACATGTATTTTCCTGGCTAGTGAATTATCTCATATTGAAATTGAAGGGTTTTAACAAAACAACCAAGAAATCTGAGTCTTTATATTGGTTTTGATGACCTGGATAGAATTGAATCTGGTCTTGGCGCCCTACTCGGTGCCCCACACAGCCTATTGGTGAGGAATGAATACTCTGAATCTGTGCGGCCCCCTCAGTCCACCTTTAGGCTTTGGTGTAACTCACCCAAGACAAGCCTGGTAAGGTTGGATCAGCATGAAGACAAGAAAAATAGAAAAATGAGGCTGCAAATAAGTGAAGGCTGGACTCCAGGAGGTGACAGGCAAGTTCCAGCATCGTGCAGCATCAGCCTAGCCCTGTGGGCACTGACCTCCGTGTGCCATCTCACTCATGTGCAGTTATACCCCTTGCTCTGCTCATGTGCCACTGTGGAGAGAGCGCCAAAGGCTTTGCCCCCATCCCTGGCACCATAGAGATGCTGCATCCCTGGAACAATGAAGGAGCACCTCCTGAGGACAAGGTCAGTGGGACTGCCTGCTCTTCTGACTTTAAAGGGGCCTCAGGGGGTGTTTCTAATATTTTAGGTCATGAGAAAGCAAAGCGGTCATTTCAGATTTCGTTCACGTGCCTTTGTTAAACAGAGCGTCCGAGTGCTGACACATTTTGTGTTTGTGGCCAGGACAGGGTTGACATGGTTTTCTCCTACTGTGACAGGTCCTGTGTCATAGAGAACGTGTGACACAGGGAATGTAGGACAAGGGTTAAAGAGAGCAAGAGGGCAAAGGGATTCAGGAGAGAAGTTCTATCCCCGTGTCAGATAAGCAGACCTTCACAACAGCTGCTTCTCCATTTCCCTGCCTGAGATACACAGGGCTGGAGATAAGCCCACGACCCCATAGCAGGTGCGCGGTGCTGCAGAATCCCCTCCCCTCCCAGTGTGTAGCCGTCTCCGGTTGTCTCTCTGGCACTTTCACCCTGGGCCTCATTGCCGGCTGCAGTGGGCATCAGGTCTAGTGGGATGTGAGTTAGCATCACATGTCTGGGAGCTCGGCGTCACTGTGGCCTGAGTACATCTGCGAGCAGTCCAGGCCCCAGGACCATTCGCCGCCTGGTCCCCCCCGTGGATGAGGCCCACCCCCATGCTGTCTCGCGCTCCACACACATGCCCCCCCACCTTCCAACAGGCAGAGGGGAGAAAAGTGAAGAAGGAATCTGAGAACACCCCCCCAGAAGTTCCCGACCCCATTTCTGCCCGAAATCACCCTAACCAGAACATAGGTAGGGCTCCTAGTCGCGGTGGAGGCTTGGAAGTAGTCTCTGTGTGGGTGGCCGTGTGTCCAGCTAGAGAAAAAATGGGGGGAGGGGAGGGTCTGCGAGGGAAGGCGTCAAACTTCAGGAAAGTTGAGGTGCTCCGGCTGCCATTTCTCCCTGGGGCATAGCGAGCTCCCCAAACACGAAGGTGGCGTGGAGGTCTTCAGAACCCAGAAGGAAGTCACTCCACCCAAACTCTGACCTGCTTCTGGAAATAGCTCATTCCCTGGCTGTGCCCGCGTAGCCCAGACAACCACACCCCCGGCCACCCCCTCCCGCGCTCCGGTTCCCACCTTCCTCGCTCTCGCAGGCGGTGCACTCGCTCCTGGTGGCAGGTCACACAGCCGGTGCTGCGATGGGTGGCGGGGGCGCAGCGGCCGAGGCGACCAGCGTGCGGGGCAGCGGCTCCGCCTTGCTGACCGGAGCGCGGCTCGAGGTGTCACAGGTGGACGGCAGGTGGGAAGAGCGCACAAGCCTGCTTGCCGGTGGGGCCGCCTGGGCTGCGGGGTTGGCAGGAGCCGTGAGGGGCGCCGACGTCGGCGCGGCCGCGAGAGCCCCAACAGCGTCCAGAGGCATGGCCGCAGCACTGAGCGAGGCATTCCTGGGGAGCTACTTCCAGGAGGTAGGTTGGCCTCACTGTGCGGGGACGCTTGCTAGGGGGTCGTTGCATTAGATGTAGATGGGACTTAATTGTTTTTTTTAAAAGAACTCTGACAGATGGTGAGGAAGGGGAGGTGGGACCCAGGGAACCATTGGGCCGCTAGCCATATGGCAGCAGCCATGGCCCCAGCCTTGCATTACCCGCAAAGGCTTGACCACCGCAAGCGGGTGTTGGCCAGCCAGGCAGCTCTGCTCCTCGCAGGCCCACACAGCAGGCGGCGCCGAGGGGGCGCAGGGCCTTGCCGAGAGCAAGTCCAGGGCCAGCCGGCCCGTGTGCTCCCTCTGCCGGGCAGACCTGCCAGGGCCCCCATGAGGCCGGAGGGCCTGGACGGCCCCAACCAACCGTACTGCACAGTCAGTTGCTGTCCCCTAGTGCCCTTGGGCTCACCCCTGAGGGGCTCACAGAAAGCTGGGAGGACATTGCAGCAGGCTCACGCTGGAGTGGGATAGGAGAAGCAAGGCCGGCCGGCCTGCTCAAGGACAGGGTCTGCGTGTCCGCCACGGCCGGGCAGGCCCCGCACCATCTTCTGAGGAGACGGAGCGGGGGCTCCACGGAGGCCAGCCTGTTTCTGCCCGCCCTCCGCCACCTGCGGCCAGTTACGGGGTGCTTGCCCACTTTGGGCCCCCTCCCACCCTCCCTCCTTTCAGACCGTCTGCACGCCCTAAGTGCAGTGTAACGGGCGTAGTTACAGCCATGTCTCCTTATCTGTTTCCCGTCTTGCTGTCAGGCTCCATTCCGGGGCCATTTGTTTTATTCTGACACTTTCCCTCTGTCCTCTGATCCAGCCCAAGTCAGTTGCTGTGTGTGTGTGTGTGTGTGCAACTTGTGATTCTGAAATCATTTCAAACGTACCAGAAAATTTGCAAGAGCAATAGAAATTTTGAAAACTGTATACCCTTTGCCCAGGTTACCCAATCGTTAACAGTTTGCCACCTTTCCTATCTGCCCTCCCGTTTCCCTTTCCCTCCCTCCCTGCCTGCCTTCCTGTCTCTCTCTCTCTCTGTCTCACGCCCATGATTCTCACATTACCACAGTACAGTGAACAAATTTAGAGATTTAACAGCAACATACCCCACATTTCCAATCACCAGCCCTCACCGTAGCGCCTCTCCTCACCACTGTGCCCGGGACGGTACAGAGTCCAGCCTTTCTTGTTCCTCACGATACCGGTGCTGCTCTAGGGGCACCGGCTGGTCGTGCTGCGGGACCCCTTCAGTTTGTGTTTCCCTGATGTTTCCTTGTAATTGGACTCAGATTAGGCATTTGGGGGCTGGAATAAAGTCTTGTCCCTAGGTGAAGTTGTGTCACTAATGGTACACCTCTGTTTATTTCCATTTTAGAAAGCTGACTCTTACATCGAGGAAGATGACACGCACACAGCCAAAGACTGCCTTCTGGTTTACTCTCAGGAAGAAACCAATTCTCTGCATGGTTCCATCGGCTGTTGCAGTTTTATTGAAGCCGAGCCAGATGTCCACTTCTTAGATGATTTGGGGTTCAAATTTAAGACACTAGCTGAAGTTTGCTTGGGTCAAAAGATAGATATGGATGTGGAAATTGAGCAGAGGCAAAGACCTGTGAGGGAAGGTGTGAAGGGAGCCTCACATTCACTGTGGGAGCAAACGGAGGGAAGGTCACAGAAGACCTGCCCCTCTGGCAGTTTTCAGGTTTCAGAAGCTTTGCATGAAGCAAACGCAGAGAGAGTTACTCAGGAAATGGTTACTGAAAGGTCTGTAACTTCTAGGCAGAGTCAGAAGGCAGCCACACCGGCCTCTGGTCCCGTGCCCCCAAGCGCTGTGACCCCGGGCCCCAGTCAGCCGCAGGGCCTCGTTGTGACAGAGAGGGTGTACGCACCAGCTTCCGCCCTGCTAGACCATCATTACGCCAGTGAGGGCCGCGTCACGGTTACCGAGAGACTGATACAGCCTGACGGGGGTGCACCTGGCCCTCTCCCAGAGGCCCACTATGTCCTAGTGAGGGAAAGAGAGAGCTTCCTGGCCCCTGGCTCAGGCGTGCAGGCCTCGCTGGTCGTGCCCAGCACAGTAGGACAGAACATGACAGTGACAGAAAGTGTGCTAACACCTGTTTCCTCTCTGCAGTCCGGCTACCAAATTACCGCCGAAACCTCCATGATGGCCAGAAAAACCTTGGTTTCTGGAGCAGGAATCCCTGACCCTCTGCCAAATTTTGGGTTAGAGGAGTCTGGTCATTCTAACTCTGCAGTAACCACATCATCGTCCACCAGGGTCACCAAGCTTAGCACAGTCCAGCATTCTTACTCATAACCAGCAGTCGGCCACACTCTGTCCCATGCTTAACTAGCAGTGACCCGTTTCATATTTTCAGGAGACCTGTCTTTCCACAAGCCTTGCACATGGGAGACACATACACACTGGACTTAAGTCTCTCCCAGTCACTAGGAACACATGGATCTCACTGTCTCAGGCCCCAGGCCTCAGACACGCCTGGGACTTAGCAAGGCCTAATGCTTCTGCGTCTAAGTGCCTTTCAGTGAGACATGGCCAAACAATATTCACAAAGCAAGTTAAGTAGGCACTGGATCTGACTTCTGAGAATTTGCCACATTAGCACAGAATATCCAGGTCATCGGCTGTGCAGGAGGGCCTCCAGGAAGCTGCTTGGGCCTCTGCACACCGTGCTGATGTTCAGCCTGGTGTACGCACCAGCTTCCGCCCTGCTAGACCATCATTACGCCAGTGAGGGCCGCGTCACGGTTACCGAGAGACTGATACAGCCTGACGGGGGTGCACCTGGCCCTCTCCCAGAGGCCCACTATGTCCTAGTGAGGGAAAGAGAGAGCTTCCTGGCCCCTGGCTCAGGCGTGCAGGCCTCGCTGGTCGTGCCCAGCACAGTAGGACAGAACATGACAGTGACAGAAAGTGTGCTAACACCTGTTTCCTCTCTGCAGTCCGGCTACCAAATTCCCGCCGAAACCTCCATGATGGCCAGAAAAACCTTGGTTTCTGGAGCAGGAATCCCTGACCCTCTGCCAAATTTTGGGTTAGAGGAGTCTGGTCATTCTAACTCTGCAGTAACCACATCATCGTCCACCAGGGTCACCAAGCTTAGCACAGTCCAGCATTCTTACTCATAACCAGCAGTCGGCCACACTCTGTCCCATGCTTAACTAGCAGTGACCCGTTTCATATTTTCAGGAGACCTGTCTTTCCACAAGCCTTGCACATGGGAGACACATACACACTGGACTTAAGTCTCTCCCAGTCACTAGGAACACATGGATCTCACTGTCTCAGGCCCCAGGCCTCAGACACGCCTGGGACTTAGCAAGGCCTAATGCTTCTGCGTCTAAGTGCCTTTCAGTGAGACATGGCCAAACAATATTCACAAAGCAAGTTAAGTAGGCACTGGATCTGACTTCTGAGAATTTGCCACATTAGCACAGAATATCCAGGTCATCGGCTGTGCAGGAGGGCCTCCAGGAAGCTGCTTGGGCCTCTGCACACCGTGCTGATGTTCAGCCTTGCTGCATCCTGTACTCTGCACTCAAGTGCACCTAGCAGGTTATCAACAACTCATTCATCCAGAGATACCTGCAGGCTGGGTGGCCAGTTTTGTTCGTTTTCTTTAAGACTAGAGGCCTTTTCATCTGTGTCAGGGTGGTTGACTTTTGGAACACTTACATGGTAAAGAATACACACTGTATGTTTCTGTGCATGTGACTGTATGTGTGTCGTACAGCCTTAAAAACAGCCTAGTATTACCTTCCCTTTGTCTCTGAATAATCATAAAAATATTGAACATTGCAGATTCAGTTGAACACACCAGGGCAAAATGCATAGATAGAAACTCACTTTACTTTTATAGCAATAGTATACTATTAAAAACAAAACAAAACTCAGGATACAATCTGTTCTAATTTAAGATAGCAAAATGCATCACCAGGCTCTGCTCTCCACTGTGGAAAGAAACGTGCCTATTGCACTGCTGTACATCCTCACTACCTAACATGGGTGCCAAGTAAATATCTGTGGAATTAAACTGAATTTTAAAAACCATTCTCTTATCTATAATTGCAAAATAATATTGAAAGACCCTATAATTTCTATAATTTTGAGTTGGAAATTATCATTTTTTTTTCTGTCACCAATTCATTGATGGGCCAGTCTTGACTTACTGGTTAGTATTAAATATCACATAATGGACCTGAATCTTTGTATAACATCTTTGTCTTTTCTTTTTGAAAAATTGTTTTGTCTCCTAAGCAGGTTGTATTTTTATTGCTCCTTGAAAAAAATAATGCATTTAATGTTTCAAAGTTGTTGTACACATCAGTAATCATTTATATAAATATTCCCACCACAGAATAACTTTCTTAACTTTTAAACACTATGTAATTTTGTGATTTTTTCAAGATACTTTGCTAGGGAGACGAATAACAGTTCATTTTGTAGCACATTTTTAGAAATACTTTTTACTTGAATTGTGTTATACAAAAGATTTATACATTTCACTCCCACTGACTGTATGTGGGTAAAAGGCAAACATTTTTAGACACCATAAGTCTGTGGCCAAGGTCACTCTTCTGTGATCTAAATGTTTTACTCTCTACTAGTAATTGTTGCTTTTTTTGTTTGTTTTCACTGTAGACTTAGTAGTTATATTTTGCCAACCATGTTACAGTAATATCACTGCTGTGTGAAAATATTAGTATGACCTGAGTACTCCAGACAAACGAAATTTGATCTTAAATTCCTCCTTGGGCAGGCTTGGAAACCAGACCTGCCTCTGTGTATAGTGGAATCACATTTTCTAAATGGTTTTCTCTGTACCTGAAAAGTATTGTATTAGTTTTTATATGTGTTCCTTGGGAGATCATACCTGTGTGTGTATCATTATAAAATATTTAAATAAAAAGCTGACCTTTGGAGCAACCCTTTCCCGTATCTTTTCATTGCCCCCACCTGTCATATAAGCAATACATCTGGATGTTGGAGGCAGAGGGAGACCCCGAGAGCAGGCATTCGTCGGTCTGGGGTATTTTAATTTGAACTGCTTACACCCAGCTCAGCCAGCCTCCTTAGAGGACCATTATTTCCAGGACGCCTGGTGAAAGTTTAATTTCAGATATTTTTTAGGGTAAATATATCGCATACTAAAAAATGATCTGTTGTTTATCAGAAATTCAAATGTCGCTGGCCTCTATTCCTTTTTGCCAAGTCTGGCTACCTTGTTCCTAAGGGATGGTTGTTTGCTCTCTGCCCAGAAAGTGACCCTGGAGGAGTCTGTTGGGTTTGGCTGAAGAAGGTTTGCATCTCTGACCCAGATGTACAATCATCCAATGTTGAGAGGCGGTTTAGGCCCTTGTCACAGTTACAAGGGGAAAGATCAGAGTTTCTGCCTATACTATAATGTTACATTAATGAATATTTCACGTCACTGGCACACATGTCCTAAAACATGAAGACTGTATAGTCCCATGGCCCCAGGTCTCCCAACCCAGGTGGCCCATGGGAGCAATTTTTGTTTGATTTCATAAATCCCTACAAGCCATATTTCAATCACCACTGCATCAAAATGATCGTAAAATCACCACTATACAGTAAGATGTTGCTTATCAAATATCTCCTAGAAATGAGATGTTTCACATAATTAAATCTTAATTTCTTAACATCGCAAAATTTCCTGGTTTCACGAGTTTGGTGCAAATCTGTGTCTGACTTTTTTGGATGTACTTTCCTATTAATCGCTGAGAGCAATGTTACAATCTCCCACTGATTGTGGCTCTAGCTGTTTCCTCTTTAATCTTTTCTCTGCTTCCTGTTTATGAAACCTGTTTCACCTGTGTTATTCGGCACAAACACATTTGGGATATTGACCCTTCTATATGGAGTGGCTCTTTATCCCTAATTATATTCCTTATCTTGAAATCTACTCTGCTAAGCATTACTATTGCCACATAAGCTTTCTTAGGCTTCGTGTTTGTGGGGTGTATTTTTTTTACCTTTTTGCTCTCAACCTGCCTATGCTTTATATTTATAATGTGTTTCTTGTAAATAATAGGTCTTGCTTTCTTACCCATTTTCACCACGTCTGTTCCCCAATGGAGACTCTGAGTCTGCGCACAGCAACCACTCAGTGGACGCCGAGGGGCCCATGGCGTGTGTCTTCTCGCGGCCCCACCTGCTCCATCGCCTGTGCTGCTTTCCCGCCCTCGTGTGTTTCATGTTCTGGGATCTCACTGCAGCTCTTCTACTGACGTTTTAATAATGCCACCCTTATATTTATGTTTTAACTGGTTGCTCTTGTCGCAGAGTCCAATTTTTAAAACCTGCCAGCCAAGAAAAACTCTCCACAAAGGTAGAAAAAGAGAAAAACGTTTTGTTGCTGAATACGCATTAAGCCAGAATGTGATGTACATCACAGGCCACCTGTAAAGAAATTGCAGAGACAGAAAGAAATCTCACTTTTCATAGAGTCAGTGCACACCGCCCATTGCATATGTGTCCACCAGACAGATGGGAGCTTGTCCTCAAGGCAACACCTGCCGTGCCATTCGCCACACAGCTCCTAAGTCACCTGCTATCTGACGGGGCCACGGCGGCTTGCGGACTGCCTTTCTCTAAACAAAATGTCTCACGTCTTCGACAGGATGACTGGGTGCAGCTTGGAGCCCGGAGACAGGGGAGCCATCTTCCTTGTCGTTCAGAGAGGTAGCTCCCAGGTCCTTGAGGAAGACATGCCTGCCTGTAGAGCTGACGAAAAGCTCGTTTTGCTTTAAAGAATTTCTACACCATCTGAAAGGCGCAGAGGGAGAATTAACAACTACAGGTTTAGGCAAGTGCGGGCCCTAAGGAAGGGGGGAGGGGGGAGAAAGTCTCTCCCTTCCTGCACTAGGAAAAATTCGATTGTTTCCTTTTTAGATTTGTACTTAGCCTTACATTCCAGAGCTGCGCGTGTGCGGCAAATGGCACCCAAGGCAGCACGCATACAGACCATTCTGTCATTGTGGGAGGGGTTGGGGGCAGCACAGTTCCAGAAATCACAGCGCGCTCTGACGCGCCAGCCCACTTCCAGGCGCCCGCGGCCTCGCAGTGCGCGTCGGCCGGGCCTGCGCTGGGCGGCCTGGGGCGCCGACTCCTCCACCCGCGCCCAAGGCAGCGGCCCAGCGGCTGCGGCGTCGCGGCCGCCCTGCGCCCCGACCCCCGGCCCTGAGTGAGCCGACACGGGCTCAGAGTCTCCACCGCCCGAGCCGACGGAGCAAGTGAGGCGAGGCAGTGCGCCTCTCCCAGCACCCCAGCTGGCCCGGGCCGGAGACTGCCCGCGCCTCTGCACCCTCTGCACACCCCCTGCGCCTCTGCGCTGCCCCCGTGCGCTCTCTCTGCCCGTAGTGGCCCCTGCTTGCCCACGGAAAGGGGGAAGCGAGGTCAGGTCCCCAGGGCGTCTCCCTGTTGAAATCCCCGTTGGAGCCCAGATCCCCCATCCCCCTTCTGCGCCTTTGGGGCGACTGCCCCATCTGGCTCTTGCAGGCTCACCTGCCCACCTTTTGTGTGTGACCCGCTGAACTCCGGCTCCCACCTGCCTCCCTGGACATCCACTAACCCGTCAGCCGCTAAGTCATAGCTCATTTTTAAAGTCATAAGAAATTCCCATTTCCAAAATCCCGTTGCATTGGCCAGCTTGGGGGGCTTA